CCCTTCTGGGACGAGCCCAGTGCCACCCTTGGCCCCAGCCTGCAGTGGCAGCCCACCCTCACCCCACAGACATCTGGGGGGCATATGCCCCCCATGCCTCCCCTGGGGGTGTGTGCAGCAGTGGGAGCCTCCCTCCATTCCTGTGCCCATTTGTGGCCCTGTCTTGTGCCCTGCCCTGGCTGGGCAGCGCCTGCCCCAGTCCCTCTTCTCCATCACCATGGGGGCCTCAATCTTCTCCCCCTCCCCACGCACACCCCTTCCCTTACCTCCAACCCTTCACCCCAACAGACTTACCAGCCAGATGCTGCTCTCTAAGCTGCCGGGCTGGCCACATGCATGACGTGGCTGTGTGCATGCACAAAGCACTTATTGGCAACATTATTGGCCACATCAGCCCAATAAAAGCTGATTTCCCATATCAATATTTCTTTTATCAGTGCCAATCCAACGTAAACCGATATATCAGTGCACCTCTATCAAAAACTGGTCTTTTTGTAAAGATGTATATAACACTTAACTTCCTTAAGCCTCAAAATGTCTTCCCAAACCAAAAACTACAGTTATTTATAGAGGTGCACCGATACGTTGGTGCCATAGTGGATTGGCACCGATAAAAGGAAAATTAGCACTCCCCCCCACTTTTTTTTTGACGGTGTAGCTGATAATGTCACTGATAAATATAATGTTTTCTGGCTGGGGCCCCTGGATGCTGTGTACATGTGCGCACTGCAGCATGTACATGGCCTGGAATGCAGCCAGGCAGTGTGGAGAGCAGTGCCTTGCAGGTATATTGGTGGAGGGGAAGGGATGTGGGGGAGGGAAGGGGCTTGTGGTAGAGTAGATTGAGGCCCCCAGAGTGAGGGAGGGAGTTGGGCTGGGGCTGGGGGTGCTGCCCAGCCAGGGGGATGAATAGGACCCGGGGCGGGGAGCAGGATGGAGCCATGGGTGGCTTGTCCAGGGGGTGTGAGCGGGGTGGGTGGCTCTCAGCCACTGCACGCATCCCTGGGAGAGGTATGGGGGGTATGTGCCCCCCCCCCCCCAGGGATTTGTGCGTGGGGCAGATGCAGGCTGCCAATTGTGGGCTCGGGGCTCTCTTCCCTGCTGCCTTTGCCCTGGGAGTTGCACGCTGGTTGCGTGCGCTCTGCTCATCTGGCAGCAAATGGTGGCAGCAAGTTCTGCCTTCTGCTGCTGGGTGGGCAGGGGACGCACTGCCAACATTTGGCTCTTGGGGAAAAGGCAGCAGGGCGGAGATCCCTGAGCCCACAGCAGTCAGCCTGTCTCTGCCCTCACCCTACTCGGCTCTGCTCCTAAAAGCATCCTCGCACTTAAAAATGGTGGTGGTGGCACTTGAACTGAAGCTCATTTGACGTGCTTTAGTTCAAGTGCCCCCACTGCCATTTTTAAGCACTGGGATGCTGATCCCCTGGATTAGCCACCTGTGGCTCCATCCCACTCCCTGCCCCAGGGTCCCATTCACTGCTGTGGCTGAGCACTAACCCCTGCCCCACTCCCTCCCTCCCTCACCACAGGGGCCTCAATCTCCCTCCCCCATTCCCCTTTCCCTCCACAGACTTACCTGCAGGGAGCTGCTCTCCACTTTGCCTGGTTGTGCTCCTGTAAATGGGTTATTGGATCAGTATCAGCTGATATGCCGGGTGAATAATTTGCTGTTGGTATCGGCCAAGAAAATCTTTATCGGTGCACCCCTAGTTTTTGACAAATATACTTACAATAGGGGATCGTAGAATGCATATGGCAATATTGGATATGTATTTTTTTATTTTACCAACATTTTATAATTTAATAAATTTAAAAGACTGTTCTTCATAACATTGAATGTTATTTTAATCTTTGTAACTGAATGACAAAAATGAGGAGGAGGTGTAAAATGTATAAACATAATATCGTATTTACCTGAACCCAAGACAACCCTGAATTTAAGATGACCCCTTAGGAATGGGATTCTATAAATGGAAAACTTATAAATTTGTTATGCTTTCCAAGTATTGAATCAAATTATTGGAGGTTTGCCTTCAGTTCTCTCCTCTACCAACTGCTGCAGTGGGGAAAGCAGTGACATGGGGTAGGTAGGGTCGGGGGAGCATTGGGGGGCCCAGAGCTGCCACTGCTACCAGAATGGACTGGGACTATGCCCTTTGGCCCAGGATGGAGTAGGGCTGGAGCCAGTGCCATAGCAAGGTTAAACGGCAGGGAGTGGTGGGTGGACAGGTAGGGGGGCAGAGGCTAAGGGGAGAGCCCAGGTTGGAGCCAGAGCCCTGGCACCTGCCTGCCCTACCCCCTCTCTCCTACCATCTCGTACTTGATTACAAGATGAAGGGTTTTTTTCTCCCCATATTAAATGGATTCCCTGCTTTCCCACATAATTCAGGAGGAATCCTGCACTTCCTCACACTTCCCATAATTCAAGAGGAATTCCAGTCCAGGCACTTGGTTACCTGAACACAGGGAAAGGCTCTGGCGAGCCTGGAGACCTTAGAAAGCTGATTTAAAATTTCATAGGCTGGGACCTGCACCCCTATGGTGCTGCTGTTTGATGGTGACTGAGGAAGGCATGATGGGTCTTTCTGCTACTTTTTTTTTAAGATGCTTCTGAATTTAATTGTTGTCATGTTTTGTTTTGTTTTGTTTTGTTTTGTTTTTTCTGGGAAGGAAAGGAGATATGTGTTTTGGGACAGCTGTAGCTCCTCTGTAAGAGAGGGGTACAGGCTAGGAAGGCGCATTTATAGGGGTGAGTAAGCTCCCTGCAGGGTGGGACAGAGGAGTGGGAGCGGGTGAGTATGGAGGGGGGAAGTGTGAAGAGGTTTCTTATCTGGATGTAAATGGTGGTGGGGAATCGTGGTTGGGATTGGCCAAAGTGTTGCCTTGTTATGGCTGTTAATCAGGAGAGCTGTAGTTGGGGGTGCGGTTGGGGTTCTCAAGTGTTGGGGTGTTGTTTCAGGAGTCTACTGTTGTTTCCTACCTGTGGGAGGTTTTTTGTTAGCTGTCCTGAGCTTTTTGGATTGGAAGGGATATATATCTAAATAATAAACAAACAAATAATTATCTCCTTGGAAATGGGGGGAGAGGGAAAATGGTTTTTCTATCTTGCAGAATTTTTTGCAATTCCAACCTTGTGTGTGACTATAGGGTCAAAAATCAACATTTTCTATTTTCTGAACAGCAAGGTAGAGGGCCACATACCCCAGAACAGCCCATAGCCAAGTAGTTAGGGAATTACTTGGGCTGTAGGAGAGTTGGTTCAAGTAGTTGCTTTTCCTGATTCAGATCAGAGACTTAAGCCTTGGTCTGCTATAACCAGGGATCCTGGTGTTTTCCAATTTAATAAATCATGAATTCTCTGACAAAACACCCCAAATCTGTTATTAAAATTAAAAGCCCCCACAGCACCCCCCAGCCCTGCTGGTGCCTCTCACTGCCCCCAAAATCCCTCCAGTACTGCTGGTGACCCTCACTGCCCCCACAACAGCTCCCTTGCCCCTCAGCTGTGCCGGAGGGGCCCCCAGCTTCCATGGCTATGGGGCTAGGGACCCAAGTCTGCAGCCCCCTTCCCCCAACAGCAGGCAGCTGCAGCAGAAGCAGCATGGAGTCGGCTCCCCCATTGCTACTGCCTGCTTGGGTGGGGCTGGGGCCGGCTCCTGCCTCCCCCCAGCCCTGCCAGTGCCTCCACCAGCCATGACCTGCAATCCCCCAGCCCCTGTAAGCCCCACTTACCTCAGGCTCCA